CCTGGACCCCCCCCTAAAGGGGCTTCGCCCAAAACACAACGTCATCACTCATACCTCGCTCTTTCCGTTACCTGGCCCGGCACAGAAACGAGAAGAGCGCTTCAACAACTGAAACCGAAATTACGCACACCACCGTTCGTACCGGGAGCCTTGGCGTTGAGAGCTTGTTACGTCACCCCTCGCTCTTGGGAGCCTTGGTGTGCAGAGATTGTTGCCTTGCCGCCCGTTCCTGAGCCTTGGCTGGGCCCGTCGAGGACGGAAACGGGGAAATCCAGAAAAACATGCAGAAACCCGATCGCTCTTATTGGACGTCCTTGTGCGGCCCTTGTCGGAGCCCTTTTGGAGGCCTCCTTGGTGTTCAGAGATGGCTGCGTTGCCGCCAATTGCTGAGCCTTGGCTGGGCCTTGGAGTCAGGAACTTGTTACGTCACCGCTCTCTGCTGGGAAACTTGGTCTTATCAGCTTGTTTACGTCACCGTTCGCTCTTGGGAGCCTTGGTGTGAAGAGCTGTTTGCATTACCGATCGCTCTTGGCGTCTCTGCGCCTTCGTGGGAGTCCTATTGGGGCCCTTTTCGGGACCTCCTGGTGGCCTCTTGGGGGCCTCTTGGGGGCCTCTTGGGGCTTCTTGGGGGTCTGTGGGGGCCTCCTGGGAGCGTCTTGGGGCGAAAGGCTAGACTTTCGGGTTCGTGGTCCCCCTCGTGGGGCCGTCTTGGGGCCCTCTTGGGCCGTCTTGGGCGCCTCTTGGGCCGTCTGGGGGCCCTCTTGGGCCGTTTTGGGGGCCTCTCGGGAGCCTCTTGGGCCGTCTTGGGGCGGTCGTGGGTGCCTCTTGGACCGTCTTCAACGCCGTGGAAGCCAAAAAGCCGTGTATACGAAAAATGTACGTTTTTCCATTTGCAACCAATGATTTTGGCCTCCTGATGGCCTCGTCGGACGCCTCTTGGAGGCCTCTCGGGGCCTCTTGGGGGGCTGTGGGGGCCTCTCGGGAGCGTCTTGGGGCGATAGGCTCGACTTTTCGGTTCGTGGTCCCCCTCTTGGGGCCGTCTTGGGGCCCTCTTGGGCTGTCTGGGGCGCCTCTTGGGCCGTCTGGGGGCCCTCTTGGGCCGTTTTGGGGGCCTCTCGGGAGCCTCTTGGGCCGTCTTGGGGCGGTCTCGGGGGCCTCTTGGGCCGTCGTCAACGCCGTGAAAACAGAAGAGCCGTATATGCTAAACATATACGTTCCTCTGGAAAATTGAGGAATTTGGCCTCTCGGGCCATCTTGGGACGCACCTTGGGCGTCTCTTGGGGGCCTCGTGGGGGCCTCTTGGGCTGTCTTGGCTGGTCTTGGGCTCTCTTGGAGCGCTCTTGGGCCGTCTTGGGGGCGAACCCGAAAACATACAAAAACCCGAGGGAAACGGCCCGAAACGCAAATTAAACCCGTTTGCTCCCTGTACGCCCCCCCCCACCCCCTGGACCCCCCCCCCATTAAGGGGCTTCGCCCAACACGCAACGTCATCACTCGTACCTCGCTCTCTCCGTTATCCAAACGTTTTGCCAAACATCCTAAAGGGTTCAAGGCAGTCCCCACATGGTCCAATATAGCTCCAGGCCGCCTCCAAAAGGCCAGCATGGAGTACGTCACATATTAACGCGTTACCATTTCTCCGTCCTCAGACCGTCCCAGACGGCCCGCGCAGCCCCCCCCCCTGTTTGATACAGTCCAGACCAAGACGCCCCCAGGACGCCCACGAGACTGCCCAAGAAGGCCCGAAGATGGCCCAAAAGACCTCCCAAGAAACCCCATCCAAACCCTCAGCGGGGTCCGAAGAGTAGGAACCCGAACTGAAGTATCAAACTCTTTCGAGATAGATGCCCCTCCCCCCACACAGCCCAAAGAGGATCTGAAACGATGACCCCGAACTGAAAATGCGAACCTATCCTGGCAGATGGGCCACCCACACCGCCAGAAAGCCCCCAGGAGTGCCCGAAGAGACCTCCAACATGCTGCCGAGGGGCAGCTGGGGGCCTCCAATCCCCCCCAAAGAGGCCCCCAGAGGCCCTCCAAATGCCGCCAAGAGGCCCCACCAGGCTCCCCAAATACCCCCGCGAGCACACAAGCAAGCGCCAACGATGCTACAATGAGCTCCAAAGGAGCCCCCCAAGACGGCCCAAGAGGGCCTCAAAGGCAATCCAAGAGGGGGAAAGCGGACAGCCAATTCGAGCCCGCTGCCCCGAAACGCCCATGACTGCCCACGCAGCATTTCACGGAAACGAACACCACGCATCAGCGTCGCGGTGGCAACGAGCACGCAGGCAAACGCCCGCGATGGAATAGTCTGGGCTGGCGGAATGAGCGAAGCGGTGGAATCGATTAGACTGGATCCGCGCTCCAATGGCCACAATCTGTTGTAGGTGGAAATGGTTCCGCGCCCCAGGGCTACGATCCCTTGAGAAGTTCGCAGGGTCCAGGCTTCCAGGGCTACGAGCACTGCTAAACTACAGTGGATCTGCGCTCCTGGGACTACGATTCTGTGTACATCACAATGGGTCCACCTATCCAGAGCCCCGATCAGTTGTAATTTATACCTGATCCGCGCTCCAGCCACGATCCCTAGTAGAATATGCTTTATCCACGTTCCCAAACATAGAATCCTCTGTAGTTGTACTCCTCCTCCTCCTCCTCCTCATCATCATCTTCCTCCTCCTCCTCCTCCTCCTCCTCCTCCTCCTCCTCCTCCTCCTCCTCCAGGCCACTATCCCTAGTGAATTCTGTCTGGTCCAAGTTCCCCAACATGGAACCCTTCGTAGTTGCACTCGAACTGCACTCCCAAGGCCACGATCCCTGGTAAGTTTCGCTGGATTCGTGCTCCCACGACTACGACCACTAGAACATTATAGCCCCCGTGACTACGATCCTTCGTGGATGGCGATTCCTACACGCTCCCAGGGCGTGAATCCCTTGTACATTTACCCGATATGACCACAAGTGGCTCCTGCGTGATTTATGATCAAAGACCGCAAGAGGGTCAACTATTGCTCCAAGCGCGCTTCGAGGGGGCTCCAGGAGGCTCCAGTCGGCTATAAAAGAGCAGCCAATGGCCCAGACGTATACCTGAGAGGGCCCAAGATAGACTCAATGGAGCCCCAAAGGGATCAAATCGGGCTCAGTGAGAGAGGGAAGGACGTTTGGCGCCCAGGAGGAGGAAGAGAAAGTAGGAGAAGGATGGTGACATCGATGATGACGGCGACGAGGAATTTCTCGATGCCTGGCAGCGGGGCTGGCGGCAGCGACCGAAGGCCTTCAGGTAACTCGCATTCAAGCCTTCTGAAGACTTGGGGCGTTCAAGTTTTCGGCCAAAGATGGTTCCAATCGGGCCGCAAACAGCTCGAAATGAACCGAAAAGGGTCCCCGAAAGGCCGCAAGATAGCCTTGAGATGGCCGAGGGCGGCCCCGGGTGTCGTTCCGCCGCATTGGCGACTTTCACAAAGCGGCCGAACGAGGCCGTTGGTGATTTCGAGCGGAGGGATGCCAAAGACATGCGCGAACGTGCCAGAAAGGCCGAGCAACCAACCCCGCGTGCAGCTCCGGCCGCTGTGACCAGGGAGGCGGGCAAGGCAGGCCTGAGCTAAGAGTCTCCCCATCTACCATCCTCTCTGCTGCGAGCCAGGGGTTGATGACGCTGCAGCGGCCACGGTCGAAGGAGGGTCGACCCAAACAATGCCCTTTCCCTCTTGCCTCCTCCATAGACGTTTCTCCTCACACGCGCACGTCCCGACCTGTTCGGAAACGAATACGGAAATGGAAGATGGGGAGGAGAAGTGGAGAGGGGGGAAAGATGGAGTATGAGCGGAAGGAGTCCAGACGTGGTTCCCGCGAAGCGGCAGGAATGAATTCAAGCGTCGGTGTGCGAGCGCCCGACGGTCAAGCCTGTGCATGGCGCGTTCGAAGGAGATCGCTACACTTCAGCCTCGGAGCACAAATCGAGATGACACCAAAACTGTGGCCTCCGCGCGGCCAGGCGCGGTCAGGCGAGCACCCATCAATTGCGATGCGCAGCCTCCCCTCCACCCTCGATTAGCACCTGGTCTTGCCACGCCGTGTCCAGCCTCACTCTGCAACACCCTACCTCTGGAGGGCTGCTGGTGCTGAGAGAGCGGGCGCCGAGGAAAGGCAAGCATTTGGACGCCCGAAATGGGTACGGAAAAATAGGTACGATACCCAACAACAACTGACGTCTAAAACCGTCAGCGGCCGCGGTTGGGCAGGCGAGCTTGTGTCTCAAATGGACGACGTCTGCAGCGACGCCGACAGCGATTCCTGTTTGACATGGACAGGAGGATTTGCTGCTGGCGCTCGTACTCACTCTTTCCGTACCCATTTCGATCGTACCGAAAGGAGCCCGCAGCAGCTGCGGCTCGGGCCCCGGACGCGCCGGCGCCGCAGTTGTAGGGGCCAAATGCGCCCTGATTGGACGATGTGCATGCTCGTACGTGATCCCGTTGGCAACACCAACACGAAAGAATACGATTGGACATTCGAGGCCCATGCCCTGCATAGCCCAGATGTTGTTTGCATATTTCTGTCTTGTTTTACTATTACTAATATGTTGCTTATTGTTGATATTGGTACTAGTAGTCGTGTTCGCGTTAGCAATGAAACAAACTATGTTATATATATAAGAATACCAATAGCAACAATAAGAATAGTAGCACAGTCTGATCACGATCAGCATTAAGAATAGCATTGTTACTATTAGTATGTGTGACTGTATTCCTCCTCTTTCCTCCTCCTACCCATCTTCCTCCTCCTGCCCCTCCTCCTCCCTCCTCCTCCTCCTCCTCCTCCTCCCTCCTCCTCCTCCTCCTCCTCCTCCTCCTCCTCCTCCTCCTCCTCCTCCTCCTCCTCCTCCTCCTCCGGGGAACAGCTATATGGCATTAGCCTCCAGGGTATGAGCGCGAGAACCGATGCGCCAGCGCTGAGTATGCACCTAGGCCTGGCGGGCTCTGACGAGAGACCGCCGCGCGTCAAATGCTTGGCTTCCCGCGAAGGGATGCTAGAGGCAGAGACTTCCGGCTGGCTATACCAGCGCCCCTGGACCAGCTCCTCTGCTCGGCCAAGACCGTCACCTCGGCGAGGCGCAGCACGCACTGGTGCGCCGACGGGCGCGCCGCCGCGCACACGTGCCAGCAGTCCTCGACCAGCCGGCGCATGGCCGTGGACGCGGCTCCTGAGCTGCCCACAACGCCGCTGCCCCTGCCGATGCTGGGCCTCGGCTCACTGCCCCTCGCGAAGTCTTCCAGGACATCCACCGCGTCCACCCCAAACTCCTCGACGTACGGAGCCTGCCCCGTGCTCATGAACCACATGACCAGCGCGAAGGAGTCCGCCGACCCCTGCTAGCCAGGGGTGAAGATGCATATGATACATGCGGCTGTCTCACTCCTCCTTTCCCACTCCCCAGGGGTCCAACATCCAGTTCTGGGGGGGGGAGAGGGGGGGGACGAGCTCCTCGCCTCCCTCTCCCTCCACGTCCTTCTCCTCTCCTGTTCCCTTTCCAACCAGTATGTCAGTCTTTCACAGGGGGCCGGCGGAATGGCACAAGCCACCTGAATAGATGTCGACCCTGTCGGTGTACTGCTCCCCGCGCGCCACCTCTGGCGCCATGTAGCGCCAAGACCCGACGCCAGCCGACATCCTCCGCTGGAGCCCTTCACCGCCGTCGCCGTCCGAATCGATGAGCCTGCTGATGCCAAAATCAGCCACCTTCAGGTCCAAGCTCTTGGTGAGGAGCAGATTGAGAGGCTTTAGGTCCCTGTGGACGACTTTCGGACTGCCGCTATGAAGATCCGCCACCGTGACCTTGGCACGAAGTGGGGCACACCAAGGTTCACAACTGTGCTGCAGCTGCTGCAGCCAGGGTTCTAGATTCTAAAAAGCCCCGACACCCCGTTTCCTGGGCGCTCTCGAGCTGGGTTGGAAATTTCGGGAGCTGCTGGGGTGTGTTGCGTGCGTCTTCTGGAAGCCAGGAGGTTCCCAAGACGGGCGCGAAAAGACCGAAGAGGCCGCGAAGACGGCCTAAGAGAGCCTCGGATCGCCTCAAGATCGCCCCCAGATCCTCAAGATAGCCTAAAGACGGCCAAAGAGACCCTCAAGAAGTACCAATGGGGCCCTAAGGGCACCCCTGGGAAGACCCTAAGAGGCCAACATGTCTGATTCCCTTTCGATTTCTGAAAGATTTTAGCCTGTTCGTCTTTTTCAGCTTTTAACGCTCCAGGACGGCCCAAGAAGCCCCCAATAGCGCCCCAGGACTGCCCAGGAGGCCCCAGAGAGGCCCCAGAGAGGCCCCAAGACGACCCAAGAGGCGCCCAAGAAGGCCCAAGGGGCACCCAAGAGGGCCCCAAGAGGTGCCCCAAAAGGAGGAACACGAACAGACATTTCGAGACTTCCGCTCCAAGAAGCCCCCAAGAAGCATCCAAGACGCCCCAAGAGGCCCCCCAAAGCACCAACGACACTTCCAAGAGTCCCCCGAGAGGCATCCTGAGAGATCCTCATATGCATCCAATAGGCCTCTAAACCACATCGCAGGCACGGTGGCGAGATGGGCCGAAGGCTTTCGATCCGCCGCCCCCTGTGCTTCCACAGGGGTGGTCCTTCCACAGGGGTGCACGGCGTGCCAGATGTGAGGTACTTCCCCACATCCTAAACCTCCTCAGCCCTCCTCCTCTCACCTTCCTTGGCATTAACATCATCACCATCACCACACCACCACCACCACCACCACCACCACCACCACCGTCATCATCATCATCATCATCATCATCATCATCATCATCATCATCATCATCGTCATCATCATCATCATCATCATCATCATCATCATCATCATCATCATCATCATCATCATCATCATCATCATCATGATCATCATGATCATCATCATCATCATCATGATCATCATCATCATCATCATCACCACTACCACCACCACCATCATCATCAGCATCATCATCATCATCATCAGCATCACCAGCATCAGCATCATCATAATCACCATCATCACGATCACCATGCAGCAGCAGCATCATCATCATCCTCATTATCATCCTCATCCGCATCATCATCATCATCATCATCATCATCATCATCATCATCATCATCATCATCATCATCGTCATCATCCTCATCGTCATCATCTGCATCAAAATCAGCAGCATCAACATCATCAGCATCATCAGCATCATCATCGTCATCATCACCATAATCATCACCATCATCATCAGCAGCACCATCATCAACATCACCATCATCATCATCATGACCAGCACCGCCACCACCATCATCATCACCATCAGCATCACCATCATCAGCATCAACAACGTCGTCGTCAGTAGCATCATCAGTATCATCATCACCATCAGTATCCTCATCCTGTCTTTCACGCTCAACATCGCCATCCTCTCCTCCTCTCCACTATCACCACACCACCATCATCATCGCACACACTCGCTCACACAATCGCACACTCATCTCCAGTATGTCTCGAGCAGGAGCCTTGTCTGTGAGTGAATCGCGAGGAAGTCTCAAGCGGAAGCCCCTCCACCTGTAGTCCCCACCTCATGTTGGTAATCCGAGGCGGCCATCGGGGCGCCCTGTAAAAACATAGGTGTGATGACACCTGGGAGCCTAAGTCTCGAGCGTGAGCCTCGTCTGTGAGTGAATCGCCAGAACGTCTCAAGCGGGGGAGTCCCCACCTCATGCCGGTAAGCCGAGGCGTCCATCGGAAGATCATGTAAACACACATGTTTGGTGGGTGACACCTGGGAGCCTGAATCGGGGGAAGTCTCGAGCGGGAGCCTCACTCCTGAGCAAACTGAGAAGATGTCTCGGGCGCCCATTCGTCTGTGAGTGAGTCGCCAGGACGTCTCGAGCGGGAGCTCCCTCCCTATTCGGTCCCCACCTCCATGTTGGTAATCCGAGGCGGCCATGGGAATACCCTGCAAAAACACAGGTTTGGTGACACCTGGGAGCCTGAATCCCGAGGACGTCTCGAGCGGGAGCCTCTTTCCTGGGCAAACTGAGAGGATGTCTCGGGCGCTCACTCGTCTGCGAGTGAATCGCGAGGAAGTCTCGAGCGGGAGCCCCCTCCTTGTGGGGCCCCCGCTTCATGCTACTAATCCGAGGCGGCCATCGGAATACCATGCAGAAGCACAGGTTTGGTGACACCTGGGAGCCTGAAGCTTGAAGAATACTCGAGCGGGAGCCTCGTTACTTTGTCGAGCGTCCCTTGTAACCAGAGGCAGCCATCCGCAGTCACGACTGCAAGTGTCGGCAAGGACAAGCAGATACCAGGCAGGAAGAGAGCCTCCGTAATGACCAGGACGACGATGAGGACTACTTCCGGATTCGTTTGTAAGATTGTCAGGTAGGGCCCTACAGTCGAATAGTTGTTGGTTGTGTTTAAGATTTCTGGTGGGCCGTCGGCCGGTCCCGCCGGCCAATCAGAAAATGTACAGTCCGCCGGTGTCTCCCCCCACGACGGCCGGAAGATGGCCTCCGAGACGGCTAAGACGGCTCAACATGGCCTCGAAGTTCGCCCAAGGTGGTCCAAGATGGCACCCAAGAGGGCTCAAGATTGCCAACGTGGCCCGAAGATGTCCTCCAGACGGTCCAATAGGCCGCCCCAAGAGGGCTCAAGACGACCTCCAGAAAGCCAGCATCCTTGATTTTCCGTAGGCTGCTCAATGAGTTTGGCTTTCTAGCCTCTTCTGGCTTTCGACGCTCCAACACGGGCCCATAGGCCTCTAAGATCGCCCCAAGACGGCCCAAGAGGCCCCCAAGAGGCCCCCAAGAGGCCCACAAGACGGCCCAAGAGGGCCCCAAGACATGTCTCGCCTGTTCGGGCTTCCGACGCTCCAACACACATAGGCCCCCAAGATCGCCCCGCGACGGCCCAAGAGGCCCACAAGAGGCCCGCAAGACGGCCCAAGAGGGCCCAAAGGCAGCCCAAGAGGCTCCCAATACAGCCACGGAGACCTCCAAGACGGCCCTGAAGCGCCCAAAGAAGGATTCACGACTGCCCAGGGAACGCCACTCCAAAGGCCAAGAGGCCCCTGGGACTCCCGAAGACGGTTTCAAAAGGACGTCCAGGAAGCCAGTATCATTGATTTCCCGCAGGTTGTTCAATGATTGTAGCGTTCTCGCCTTTTCAGGCTTCCGACGCTCCAAGACGGGCCCACAGGCCCCTAAGATCGCCCCACGACGGCCCAAGAGGCCCCCAAGTGGCCCCCAAGAAGCTCCAAGACAGCCCAAGAGGGCCCCACCCCAAGAGGCCCCCAAGACGGCTCCAAAACAACCCCAGCGACCTCCGAGACGGCCCTAAAGCGGGCACACATCCCGTCAAGTGGGGCGGGTGCTTCTAGGGGTTTCGTGGCCTCCAAGCTTGGCCTGGATGAGGTTCCCCTCTGGACCCTGCCCAGTGTTCGGTGTCAGGAGTCGACCTCGTCCGCGGGCTCGCGCTGTTTGGATTCTCCTCCCGCGCCTCGGCTGAAGAGCTGGGGCTGCGGGTCCTTGATAGGAGAAAACGCGAGCCCGACGAATTGTAGGACGAGTTTTAACTTGTTCAGCGTTTCTTGTGCATGCGAATTGGGTGCCCCCCTTTCAGCTGGTGCTGCACTCCTCCTCCTCCTCCTCCTCCTCCTTTCGTTTCCTCTCCCCAATGTTCTCCCCCCAAGGAGTTCCACAACGGCTGGGGGAACACATAGTCCAATAGCTTGGCCAGACTTCGGCCCAACGTTTGGCCGCATGGGCGTCTCCAAAAGGCACGGGGCGGCGGTGACTCGCCGTAGGCGTCTCCGATAATTCAATGCCCGAGCCACTGCACTTGACCACTTAAGTAGCACATCCATGCCCACACGGTACGGTCGGTTGTGTCTGCTGCTGGCCTTCTGTGCAAAGTGAAAATCAAGATCTCCACCATCCATGAACTCCATGATGAAAAATGGCTGCGGAGTGAATAGGCAAGCCCCGAGGAACATCACCAGATCCGGATGCCGAAATGACGAGAGGAGGCAGATCTCGCGGAGCGTCTCCTTCGCGACAGGCTCGTCACTCTCACACTGACTATGTCGTATCACCTTCTTGGCCACCACTTTGACTCCCCTCCACTCTGCATCGTAGACTACGCTCTTTAATGTCGTATGCAATATCGATCCAAAGCGGACCTCATCAGGTGATACCATCCAGCCCATCTCGCTGCCACCGACCTCCGAGCCCTTAGGTTCTACTTGAGGAGTACCTTTCCCGCGACTCCCACCACGTAAAGACCCCACATGCCGCGCCCGAAGCAACAGAGCAGCAACATGCTCCTGATTGTGTCTGACGGCGTCAGACAGCGGGCTATTTCCAAAATGGTCTTTGCGATCGACGTCAGCCTGGGACGACAGTAGGTCTTGTGCAACAGCCTCGTGCCCATACGCGGCAACGATGTGCAGGGCGACGCGGCCGCAATAATCCTCCGCATTGACGCTGACGCCATTGGCGAGCAGTTGCTGCACAAGCTCTCTGCTCCCCGAAGCAGCGGCGCAGCACAGCCGCATCCCCGAGTGGAGATCCACCTGTGGGCATCGTTCAACCGATCCCCATCGCCACTGCCATGGCCTTGGTCGCACTGGCCGACCTAGAGCCCCCCAGGGAGGGATGTGTGCCGTTCCCTTCGGGTTCCACGGGGCTCACCCCCACCGAAGAGAGTGGGCGGGTGGGGCTGCGATACCACCGCCCAGGGGGATGGGGATAGGTTTTAAACGATGCGCCGAACCTGGGCGTCGTCAACGCTCAGACTCTCCAAAGAGCGCGAAGCCAACGACGCGCTGCCCACCGAGCTGTCCAGCAACCGGCTGGCTGCCGAGCTGGCCCCGGAGCGCTGGCTGCCGTTACTCGGAAAGGCCGCGGGGCTCAAGTTCGGGCGGGTGGACCTGTTCGTGCGGGCACCGCGCCGCGGGAGGATGGCCTCGACCTCGGCACCGGCCTGCCGGAGGACGGCCTCGACGTCTCCGCGGTCGTTCTGGGCCTGAAGGGGCCCAGGGAGATACAAATTCGCCGGCCCAACGGGCCAAGGGCGTGCTAAGATCTCTGGTAACTGATTAATCAGAGTGAGGGGGCCGAACGGTCATTCATTGTCCCTGGGTGCGTGGCTGAATAAGGAATTCGTGGTAAGAGTTCTGCTGGTTGCGTTGTTGTTGCTGCTGCTGTTGTTGTTGCTGCTGTTGCTGCTGATGTTGTTGTGGTTGTTGTTGTTGTTGTTGGTGTTGGTGTTGTTGTTGTTGTTGTTGCTGTTGCTGTTGTTGTTGCTGTTGCTGTTGCTGTTGCTGTTGATATCGTTGGTGGTATTGTTGCTGTCGCTCGTGCTGTTGCTGTTGCTGTTGTTGTTGCTGTTGTTATTGTTGTTGCTGATGTTGGTGTTGTTGTTGGTGCTGCTGCTGTTGTTGTTTTTAAAACCCTCACTCCTGAAGAATAATTATTGTTGATCTCCCCTCACCGATGCATGCTGTTTTTCTTAATCCAAATGTGCCCCTCCACGCTCGCACCCTGTTTTTTGACACGGAAAGTATTGGTGCTCAAACTGGGCCCCTGGCCCCCCGGATTACAGCAACAACGGCTCCTGCCTGAGACTTCCTTCAAATTTACTCAAGACCCCCGCTCCTGAGACTTCCTCACGATTTACTCAGGATCGGTGCTCCCGCCTCTGATCTCCTCTCAATTTAGTCAGGACCCCCGCTCCCATCTGAGACTTCCTCACAATGTTCTCAAGAACGGCGGTCCCGCTTGGGACTTCCTCGCAATTGAATCAAGACGTCCTCGGTCCCGCCAGAAAACCCTTCACATTTGTTTCAGGAAATGCGTTCCCGCTTGTGACGTCCATGCAAAGTATTCAGAAATCGCGCTTTCGACGCTCAGGAAACACGCTGCGCCAAGGACGCCGTTACAATTTACTTAAAACAATCGCGCTCTCGCCATACTCAGGCATCCCGCTAGAATGTCCCACACGCCCGACCCGCCCGTCAGGGGATCGGCCGTCCGTCGTGGGTTCCCGTCCGACACTTCCTTCAGGAACGGCGCCTTCGCCTAGGACTTCCCCGAACGTTCACGCTCTTACCTTCCTGCTCCTCCTCCCTCTCCCTCCTCCCTCCTCCCTCCTTTCCTCCCTTCTCTCTCCCTCTTCTCTTCCCTCATCCTTTTGCCTCTCTGCCCTATCCCCTCTCCCTCCTCTCCCTGATCCCTTCTCCCTCCCCTCTCCTGCCTCCTCCCTCCCTCATTATTTATATGTATTCTCTCTTTATCTCTCTTTTTCTCTACCTCTCTGATCTGTCTTTCTCGCTCTCTCTTTCTTTATTTCTCTCTCTGTCTCTCTCTTTCTCTCTCTTTCTCTCTCTTTCTCTCTCTCTCTCTCTCTCTCTCTCTTTCTCTCTCTTTCTCTCTCTCTCTCTCTCTCTCTCTCTCTCTCTCTCTCTCTCTCTCTATATCTCTCTCTCTCTCTCTTTCTCCCAGAACTCATGTTGAATGACACGCGGGCAAATAAGAGCGACCAGTCGTAAAATGATTATTGTTGCTGTTGTTGTTGAGCTCTCACTTCTGAAGAATAATTCTTGCTGATCCCCCCATCACCGGTGCATACTGTTTTTCTCTATCAAAGTGTGCCTCTCGACGCTCGCACCCTGCTTTTTGACACGGAAAGTATTGGTGATCAAACTGGGCCCCTGGCCCCCCGGATTACAACAACAACAACAACAATCATTTTACCCGAACGCTCAGTGTTCTCCCCAGTGCCAGGGTTTTCTTGCGACACCAGCCAATACCCCCACTTCGTGGGGGGGCCGTTCAAGCTCTACCAAATATCCAAACGACTCTTCGAGACCACCCACACCCAGCTTCCCGCCCTATGACGTTGGGACACTTCACTTCGTGGCGTGCGGACGACCCTGGCTACTACACTGGCGTGGGGTACACACCCACAGAGGTTGATCACATCTGTTACATATGATGTGGTACACGGTACACGTGAGATGGTACGCAGTGCCAAGATAGTTGGTCACATTTTTGGGGCAAATTCGTGGGGATGCGATTACAGAAGTACATGTGTTACACTGATGTTATACAGTCCCAAGGATGACGCATGCATTGCTCATAGACTCATGGCGCTATGATCCTAACTCTCAGTGCCCAACGCGCGCGTGCACAGCCAGACGGAGGGAGAGAAACACATGTATACAAGGTTCGTGACATACGCACGGTCCACCATGTTGTAAACGATCGCATGCACGGTAAGTTCTGAAATTATACGTATGTACAAGCAGACATGCGAGGGAGAAAGGGAGATGGCCATCGACAGTTCCAATACGGCTCCAAGGCGGAAGAGGGGGAGGAGGAGCAGGACAAGGAGGAAAGGAGAGAAGCGAGAAAGGAAGAACGCAGACGGCGCGGCTCTGGACACAAAGGGGTGCCATACTTTCTCCTGCTTTCGCAAACAGGTCCAGTCACACGTAGGGGTATACTCAACCGAATGGTCTTCGCATCCAGAAGCATACTAAAGGCGCGACGCATCGTCGTCTGCGATGGCGCGGAGCGGGCGCGTGGGTGCCCGGCTGCCTGGCTGATACACGTGCGGGCCTGGCTGATACCCGTGCGGTCCCAGATGCCCAATGAGATTGCCGATACGCCTGCTGGCGGGAAGGCCGGTGCTTGCATACGGCAGTGCTACCGCGAGCACGTTGTGGACCTGCGGTGGCAAGGCCTGGTAATCGAGCATGTTCGGAAGCTCGTCGCTCTGACCATACGACCGCCATACGGGCAACCACCACCACTGGTCTTGACGCGGATACGTGATCTCTGTGCCGACCTCAGGGGATACGTTCCAAAGGGCCATTTTCTGCGGGTCCGTACCCATGAAGGCCGCGTGGTACGCAATGAATACGTCCAAGGTGGCCAGGGCCCTGTAGGAGAGGCCGGATACGATCTCCGCATGAATGGGAATAGCGAGCTGACCGAGCAAATACCGCATACTGCGATACACCCACTGGCCCGGGTGGACGAAGAGGTTGGCTTTCCAGGCGACGATACCTGCTGCGGTGCACAGCGTGTCGAATACGTGCACAAGGTAGCCAATGGGCTTCCCAAGCCTCTCATCCTGGAATACCGAGAAGTTCCCGAATACCGCGTTCGCGTAAAAGTACGCGTCGAAGTACAGCCATTCGGGCTCGGCGATGCCCCCCATACTGTGCTGGTACTCCGGGTCGTTGTTGGTCTTCGACTGCCCCGTGGACATACCGCTCGATACGGCGAGGCACACGCCCGTAACACCCTCCCATAGAAGAGGGAAGAAGATACCGCACGACGCACCTGCATATTCCGGTAATGGAGGTCAAGGCCCAGGTCGGAGACCTCCTCTCGATACCGCTTGCCGCATGCCGCCTCTACAGCATCCCCCGTCAGCAGCTTTATACAAACCACATCTGTGGAGGAAGAAGCTGCCGTGGCCTGCTGCTTCGATGCGGGCTCCTCCCAGTCGACCGCGGCAGGCCGTTTGGCCACGCGGGCAGCTCCGGCGGCGGCTGGCCGTTTCAATACCCCGCCTGCGACCTGTGCCGCCGGGCGCTTCAATACACGCTTGGTGACGGCCTGGGCGGATGAAGCCGCCGCCTGCACTGAAGCGCCCACCGACGCATACACATCGCACCACTTTCTCAACACTGAGCGGGACACCAAGACAGCTTTCCGTCGCATACGCAACACGGCATGCAACGTGTGGTACTTCAGCCCTGGATATACAGCGCGCATGTGGTCACCAAGTGCCGCGTTGAGCTTTTCGGCCGTGTCATACTGCAAAGGTCCAGAGTCAGGGTGATACTTCACGTACCATTGCCTCAAAACCATACCGCTGACAGCGACGGGAGGATCGCTCTCCGAGAGAAGCTGCGAGAGGACCTCCGCAGCGGCCTTTGTATTCCCTACGCGCCAGGTACCCACTAGAAAAGGTTAGTGTGGTGGCGGGGGACGTGCCATGTACGGTGGTGAATATGATGTTCGCGGTTTGTCACGTGCCATTTTTCCTGGGAAAAAGCTGTCACGCGCTAGTGTTTTGAACCAATGAGGAGGGGTAGTGAGGAGAAGGGGGAGGTGTTGTATAGGGCGCTCCAGGTGAAATCAGGGAAAGCACCACGCGGAGGCCAGAACGATTACGCCCTTGGGTTAACAGTAGTGTCAAGTAGCCAACAACGCCATGATAAAGCTCGCGGTACGTAAACAACCATGTAGGTATATATCACACGCAGGCGAATTCTTCAAATGCGCCTACATGGTTTCACAGAGTTTCTGGCCAATTTCTTCATATCTGAGGATATATACATCACCGTCAGCATCTCATCATCGGTCGTCTGAGGCAGGAGGGGGGTTCAGGTCACGCGGAGTAGTGAAGAGAGTAGGAGGAACAGAAGCATGACATCACGGGACAAAACGAGAACAGACAAAGGTGTGCCCAAGAATCCCGCCGATTTTTGGGCACAACAGTTTGGGTTCAGTTGCGTTTGGTGCTCTTGCGTTTTTGTGTGAACGTCCCTATGTTTGAAGCTATTTTGTTCAGTGAAGTTTCGTCACTCCGAGGTGTTTGTGCCATTTTCTGTCTTCATTCTAAAGGGGGTGGGCAGTATTGGGGCCGGCTTGGGCCGTCTTGGGGTGTTTCTATACCGACCGTCGATGTTAGCAGTCGTCGTCGTCGTCCTGGTTGTCCTCGTCGCCATCATTAACGCTATTCGGGTGCGATCTCATGTTCGCCATTGTCGTCCGTAGCCATTTGGGCTCAAGCATTCGATGAAGAAATCGTCTCTTCTGGAGAGGCGCGGCCGAAAGGTTGGATTCAAATTGTCTGACACTCATCGGCAGAAGCTGAAGATACGAGAGCAGAAAAAACGAGCAGATGCATTAGAGAGGGACGTCCATGATCTCTCCAGGGCCCTCGCCCCAGACAGAGCTCAAGCAGCATCGCATGTGTTGAGTGATGGTGGATTCGTTTGCCAGAAGTCTAAGTCGCTCCAGCTTTTCGTTGATGGCGAGGCCGTTTACACGTCTCGCCGAAAGCACGGCAGTGCAGGATTTGACGCGGCGTCCAATCGAGCCCTCGTTTCGCACGTTGCTGCACAGACTTCTGGATTCAGCAAGTTTCTAAGCGACCACCCAGGCAGGATACTGGGAAGTTGGTCCACGAACGTGTTTGATGACGCTACAATGTGGGTGAACAGTAAGTCTGTCAAGAAAGAAGTTTACACTGACGCGGAAAAGCAGTTGGAGGCAAAGCTGAAAAAGTGCGGGAAAAACTCGCACATGCAAACCCTTTCAATATGTGAGAACTTGTTTGTGTTGCGAACTGTTCCGTCCGCGTCGGGGAATGAACCGACGCAGCTTGACATCGACCGTGTTGTTTTATCAAGTGCTGCAGTGGATTCGCCGACTCAAATTCTCCCCGTGGCGAATGCGATGACTGTGTATGACCGATGGAAGAGGTGGACCGTCATGAGCACATCCAGTACTGGCAGATGCGTTGACAAAGATGGGGAAATACAAACATGTTTGGACCGCATACCGTGGAAAACGATTGCGCTAGCGAAAGACAATCTCCAACTAAATATGTGTTTGGTGTGCATGCAGGAGAGGAACATACAATATGCTCCCGATGATTCGCCCGTCCATGCGACCACTCTGATCGATTTCAGATGTGCTTGCCATAGCGTTGTGCTGGCGACGAAGCCGTTGATAGCTTCTACGGGCTGTTCTCCTGTTTTGGTCAAACTTGGTCATGTGTTTGAATCCGCTCGTTCCCATGCCACGTATCTGGAGGCGTTGGATGCGGAGGTCGAGGAATCTTTCAAATGCAGGTTTGCCCCTATACTACCAGCAGCAGCGGCGGCATGGAGACAACAATGGTCACACCTATTGCGCATGTCGTCGGCCGTTCGCGATTTAATGCAGGCCGACGTCGATTTCATTTTGGCCGCGATGACGTGCGACCCCGATTCTGAAGATATATGTCATTATTGTTGGCCAGGGTGTCCGCTCAAGTGCAATGGGGACGAACAGAAAGCTCTGTCGGCATGCAAGAAAGCGATTAGGTTGGTATGTGGAGGGCCGTTTCCAGTGCCGTTGGAGTATCGCTGGAAGGGCATGGAGGTTGCCGCGGCATTTTGCAGACGAGCTCTCCGTGCCCACGGCATGTTGAAACGGGGGCTCCAAATTGTGTTCAGCAAAAAGGACGTGCATGCCGCGTCGGAACAGCTCAGAAAAGCTCGGGAATCTGGGAATGCCGACAGCGACGGCTTATCGAAAGCAAAACACACTGTCAATGGTGGCAAGATCGTTGCCTTTATGGAGTCTGGCGGCGCGGTGAAAACTTTGGACACGTGCATTTTGCTCAACCGACCTGTTCAGCACTACCTGAACGCAGCGTTTCAGACCGACGAGCTCACAGAAGTGGTCGTCAAACATTCTGCCGCTCTCCCGTCCACTGCGGCTTCGACGACCGCTCAGGTGGCCCAGGATATCGACAAGGCCATCGAGGCGAATATGGACATTCTCAGCGGCAGGCGGGGGCATCAGGTCGTGGATGCGTTTGCGAGTATGCTGCTGAATTATCGCGGCGACGAGTGGGACTACATTCGCCTGGATGACGGTGAGCGGCATGAGTGCGCAGAGAACATTCTTCTTGCCATCGCGGATGCGTGGTATCGGCTGGTCTTCCTGTACGAGCGGGACCCTCGCTACCAGCTGCTCAGGGTGTGCGACATTAAGACTTACAGCGACTACTCCATCGCCATCATCACTGACGAACTTGCTGCGCGACTGGAGCGGTGCAACTCTTGCATCGACATTTGTTTCACTCGGCCTTGGCTGCGGCGACTTCGGCACCCTCGCCGACGCGTTCGAGAGGCCGCTCACGTATACCTGAGGCATTTTCTAGCAACGTGCAAACTTGTTTCGACGAAGAGTGAGCGGCGACATCTGTTGGGCCAAGAGAGTAGGAGCAAAAAGCGGGGGAGGTCCCTGGATGCGACTGGGATCTCCAAGATGACTTACCAGAAAGGGGTGATTCAAGCAGCTTCGGCGATGTATAGCTACGTGCTCAGCGACTATTTCAAATCCGCAGACTTGGCGAAAAGGTGGTCGGCTGCCCTCTCCCAGTTCGAAGTGGGTCGAGCTCGCGTGCACGGTCGTTCGAAGACTTCGTCGGGAAGAAAACCCAAGAAACGCTTGTTGGGCTCGAGGGCTCAGGCGAGCAAGAAGCCCGTGCGTGCTTACGATATTTATGTGAGCGAACGTTACTGCGAGGTGGGGGGCGAGGGTAGCATGGTGCAGAAACGCAGGAAGGTTGATGACATGTGGAGAGAACTTTCAGATGGCGAGCGTGCGGTCTACCAAGGAAAGGCAGACCACGAGAATGAGTCTCTGCAAAGTATGGCTGGCTGCTCGTTTAAACAGTTTTCTCAAGTGGAGGGCCCCAGACATCGATTCCGCAAGTGCAAGGCTTCGACGGAGAGGAGACGTTCCGTAATCCAGACGTTGAATGAGCTGCGGGGCCATCCTGCTTGGTCGGCAGGGACAGGAGTGGCTGCTTTTGGGACTGGTCTCAGGGTTGATAGAGTTCTCGATGGCAGCGATGTCAAAATGGCCGAAGAGGCGAAGCGCATTTTCGAGTACGACCCAAATGCCTTACCGAAGCACGACGGGACGTTGAAGCCTGAATCGTGCTGCTGCCTTCGGAATTTTGGTGTTTGCGAAAGCGACGAGGCGCTGCGTCCCGCGCATATCTTGACACACAACTTGTACGTTGCCTTTTTTAAAGCAAGCTTGCACTCCAAACTGCCTTTGCTGTGCTTGTTCCAGATTGATGGCGATGACAGCGTCGCGGCATTGCACGCGTGGCTCTGTAGATTTCGAGGAAGGGGGGAGAGCGCCACACTTGTGTACGGCGCGGCCGACGAACCGACCGATGCAGGCGGCCAGTGCTTCACGCTGAAGCTCAGTGAGGCTGGCAGGGTCTGCCCATCAACGTCGCAGATGCTCTTCCAGGGGTTGTTGCGAAAGGGGTCGATGGCCAAGGGCGTGTCGATTGAGGCGGTCGAGCGCGTGCAGGTGACTTGCTTTAAAACCTGCAGGCGTCCTGGGGCCCATCATTTCGCATGCGAAGTTCACGAGCCAGTACTTGCAGAGAGTCTCAACGCTAAGTTGAAAGCGAAGATGCCTCGTGTCAAAAAAGGGGAGGATGAGGGGGGCGATGCGCAGGTGGTCGAGCTTCCCTTTGGCCTCGGCGCGGCGCCATTGCTGCAGGAGGACGGTGGCGGTGGCCCCCCTGAGGGCGCGAACGACGGAGGCTCTGAGGGCGGGTCGGAGTGGGGCGAGCCACTGCCCCTTGCTCTGAGCCCCGCGGGTGGCGAAGATGATCATCTTGATTTGACGCCGCCCCCTTCGCTTGCGTCCAGGTCCCCTCCAGGTTCCCCAGTGCCCGATGACCCTCCTCCGCTCTCTGACGTTGAGTCTGAGCCAGAGCCAGTTGTGATCGATCGGAGCGTCCTTGGAGTGAATGAGTATGAGTTTTCCCCCAGCCGCAAGGCGATCTGCTTCGTGTGCAACGTAGCCATAGAGAAAAATCAGTTCCGATTCAATTATCGTTTGAAGCTCGGGAGTTCGATTCGCGATCAGCGAAGGCTGCATTGCGAGTGCTTTGCCGCTGGAGCTCTCCCTGCGGAAGCCAGGGAGACTGACCTGACACGCCTTCGCACGTGGCTCAGAGGCAAGGGCCTCTCCGACGAGGTGCGAGGGTACCTGCAGGGGGCCTACGACAGGCGATGACCGAGGGCCCCCCCCTTGCACAAAAACGCTGCGCCACCCCACCTCCCCTTGCACAAATTGTTGTGCAAGGCCCGAGCCCAGGGCCTCGACAAAACGCAGGGTTGCACAACATGTTGTGCAAGGGGCCCTCCCTTGCACAACTTTGCCTGGCAGGGGAGGGCCCTTGCACAACTTTGTTGTGCAAGGGACCCTTCAAAACACTAGGGAAAGTGAGGGGTTGCACAACATGTTGTGCAAGGGCCCCTCCCCTTGCACAACTTTGCCCCGAGTCGCCCCCCGCGTGATGACCGTCCAAACCGGGGCCGGATTGCTGCGCCCCGCCGAGAGCGACCCCCCCGAGCGGTGCCAGAGTGCTGCGCCTCGCCGAGAGCGAGCCCCCCGAGCGATACCGAGCGCAGAGCTCATCGGCTCCACGTAACATGTTCTTCTTAACGCGTTTAAAACAAACATCCCGACATGCAACATGGTTCCAATCACTTTGAAATATGTTTGGGGTTTGCCACCATAGCTCTTGCACGACCTCTGAGATCCCTGCGTCACCCTCCTCCGTAAGACAGTTTGGCTCGAGACTGCCCCAGGGTGTTGGGACCAGCGTGGCGCGCATAGCGATCTTAGCGGAGCGGCCTCCTCGACTGGCGCTGCCATGGGGGTGCTCTCCAAGCCCCTGAAGCCAGGCAGCTCCGCCGCTGCCAAGGCTCCAGTTCGGCAGAAGCCGAAGGGGGGGGCACCGCCAGTTGACCTTCCCGAGTGCAAGTGGCTCGACCAGCCCGCAGTGACATGTTTGGCGTGCGACCAGGACACGCACCACATCGATAGGGACAGCCCCCCCTCGGCCCCCTTCTACCTGGTGTGGACCAAGACGGTGAAAGCGATGAGGCCAGCTGGCGAGTCTTCGAAGTCCTGCGGGAAAAGGAAAGTCAAGCTCATGGAGTACCGCAAGTGCGTCGGGGACGAGTGCTACAGGTGCTACGACACGAGGCGTCGATATTTCGTGAACGAGGTAACTGGCAAGCCTTTCAGCATGGAGGAGTTGAAAGAGAAGAGGGAGACGGATCCGAACATCGGGCAGTCTTACACGGACATGAGAAGGGACAGAGCTCAAGGAGGCAAGGCCTACGTGCGAGACCCCGCGAACCTCGCAAACAATACGTCAAAGGAGAGGGCGATCGTCGATGAGGAGGATATCGAGGAGGGGACGAGGCAGACCATCAACGATTTCGCAATGGAGATGCGGCTCGTCGGCAAAGTTGACCTTACCGATCAGGTGGCGCTGAGAGACTACATAGTCGAGCACTACCCGCACGTGGACTTGGTCGAGTTGGACGGCGGCTGGCACGTGGAGATACACGACCACTCGAGGGCGTTCGGCAAGCGACGCTTCAGGAGGTCGACCGAAGTTTCTGTCCGACAGAAAAAAGAGGAGAGGCACGAAGACGCGGCCGCGGCCAACGAGCGCATGGATCACCTCACCGACAAGATGGACATCCGCATGAAAGGCACCAGGAAGATCAGGAACGCAGGGCTTTGCGACGACGATGGCGATGCGCGCGGCCTCGGGTCATCTTCGGGCTCCGCCGTCATCACGGTGGCCCCGCAGCGCGGGCTCGATGTGGCGTTCGACGGCGCGCCCGTGCCGCTGCCTTCGCCGCCGACTTGCGCGCCCAGGGCCGCG